GGGCACCCGCGGGCGGATCACAACTGCAGCGGGTTGCTCATGTTTGTCTGTGGGGGGAGAGTGTCATCCAGACTCCCACTCCTTACCTCAGAATCAGAGTACGGGGTTGGTGCTGTTGCCCTGCCCCCCTCCCCCTCCCTTTCATCTATCCCTATCTCATGTGCGATGCCGTCCGGCCCCTCTATTCCTATCGGCCCATCCCTTCCTTGCCTACCTTCCATCTTTAAAAAGCCGTCGTTCCTTTCTACCCCTTGTTCCCCTGCTGCTGCCATCTGCTCTTTGCGACGTATATCACACTCTCCCCCAGCTATATCCTCCATCTGTTCTTCACATTGTAAGCTCTGTTCCTCCGGTCGCCCCTCCCGCCGTTCCGCTTCTATGTCCATTTGTTGATGTCCACTTTCATGGAGCGGACCCCATCCCTTTGCTGCTCTGCCCACTTATTGTTGCTCATCACGGGGCTTTCCATGAAGGGGGGCCCGTTCCCCTGGTACCCCTCCCACCTCCCTTCCTTGCCGTTCGTTTTGCAGTTGACCCAGCCTCTCATTCATGTTGTTATTAAAATCCGTCCATCGCTGATTATCCACCATCGGTGGCATTATGGTTATACGTGCTAGAAACCCAGTTTATTTCGTTTTATTTCTCATTTTAGTATTTTGTAGTACTTCACCTCAGTCACTGATTCTACCGTGGTAGTCTCTATGGTCAACCATGTGAAAAACGTGCTGCGCACTTTACGTGCATAACGTTAGAAAAAATATTGCATAATAAAATAATCTATTGCGTGATTGATCAAAACTTCTGTTTTTTGGGTTGCTTTTGGAATTTTGTGAAGTTGATGATGATATAGTCTGAAATTCGTGGCCACAAGAATGTTACATGCCCAGTTGGGCGATGTACATATAAACAGAGGATCCGCAATGTGATAAAAAGGACTGAATGGACAATGCAGTGCAAGTGGAATCTCAACAAGCAATGTGCATTCCGATGCATACAAAAATGGTGTTTTATAGCGCAGTGGAAGATTTAGATACAAGTCCTGACCTGACCGGGACTGACCTCTTTCACGTAGTACAAGATAGCGAAGCAGAATGCTAGAATACTAAGGACTAGCCCACTCAATGTTTCAACGCAGACCAAACATACATCATGCTCATCACAAGGTGTGATGGGGCCTGGCGCTGTACACAGGAAGGAGGCGCCAGGTCCAGACATACACCAACGAAGAGGAGGGGATCAGACGAAGAAGAGGAAGGGGGAGATGGGAGAGTCGTCAACACCAAGTCTCGTTACAAGTCCCAAATAATCCTTCTTCAAAATGTCTGAAGTCCAAATGTCGAGTCTGGATCCTAATGTCACCAAGCTCTCTCTCTCTCTCTCTCTCTCTCTCTCTCTCTCTCTCTCTCTCTCTCTCTCTCTCTCTCTCTCTCTCTT